CAGCAATCTTTGTATGACCTAGGAATTGCCATCTGAGCAATGCCGCCAGAAGAGTGGCCGGGTGCATATGCACTTGTCCTCATTCGTCCAGCACTTCGAACCAGTGCGACGTCCCCAATGCCAATACCACTACCACTACCACTCCTACTACTACTGCTGCTGCTGCTGCTACTACTACTACTACTGCTGCTGCTGCTGCTACTACTACTACTACTACCACTACTACCACTACTATCACTACTACCACTACGACCACTACTCCTGCTGTTGCTCCATTGCCACTGCTTCCACCACCACCACCACCACCACCACCACCACCACCACCACCACCCGCCGCCACCACGACGACGACGACGACTGCTACTGCTACTGCTACTGCTACTGCTACGACTCAGTGCTTGCTATATTCATTGCCTGCTGGCTTCGACCTGCTTCCTTCTGCCTATGGTGTACGTCTGCGAGCCACTGCTACTGCAACTGCTACTGCTGCTGTTGTTGTCGTTGTTCCTGTTACTGTGTATAGGATACTGTTGCTGGCCTGTGGGTGTCTAGCACTTGAGCAATTGAGTGCACGTTCCACAACCGATATCAGTTGCCTAGTCCAAGGTACGACCTCGAGTTGGAGACAGGTACCCTCAGCCGTGGCGTGGTCTCCATCACCGGGAGCCCAGCTCAGCCAGCGGTCTAGAAGTGAAGATTCGTGAAGTGTCCTCTATGGAAATATCTTGCTAAATCCGGGAGGAGTACGAAGTCAGCTGGCAGCACGCCGAGCGAAGACATCTCAAATCCCGATGTCGTGTCTCAGCTCAGCAGTCGGCTTTCTGATTCCAGGGTCATGTCGGCTGCGGGTTTGCGGTTTTAGAGGCCTAGCCCTCCTGGATTCATGTTCGTTTCCATGCGGCTTGCGTTTCTGGGAGTCTGGGACCTGGGAAGGTCTTCGACTGCTGCGACACCGATGCCTCCGGCGAGCTCGACCTGCACGAGCTGAAGTTTGCCCTGAATGCCTTCGGCTTATTTCCAAGCCTCGACTACCTGAGGCCTGCGCTTGAATCGAAAGCTTTCTCGGTCTCATGAAGTGTGCAGCCTCCGAATGGTAGAGCAAATTCCCGTAAGTAACCCTACCACCCAAATCGCCAGCTCTCCCGTGCCGTGACACTACGATGATGTAGTGACAGCAACGAAACCTCGCAATGATACCCCTGATGTAACAGAGAGCTGACAGATACACAACACAGTGCCACGACGCAAACATGGGCGGGCCGAAACGAGTGAACAAGGAACCGATAGTTCGAAGCCGAGGTTTTGACGGTTGGTATGCCCCCACAGAGAAAACTGAACTCTAAGTGCGCACAGGGACTGGATGGGGCACCGCAGCAGCATCGACCGGAAGGCATTCCACAATCTCCTGGACCAGAAGCCTGGAATTGGCAAGCAGGGTTGTCAACTAGGGTCGGACTGGGTTGCAGGCTGCAGGTGACAGAAGACGAGCTTTGACCTAGATCTTCAGACGATTCCGGCCATCCCATGTGCACCTCCGAATCCAAGAGGCCCGGTCGGAAGACCTCAAGAGCCAGGAGTTTGAACCTAAAGGCATAGACATCTCCATAATATGGGCATACATGGGCCTCAGGTTGGCAAATTGGTAATAGCAACATCACCAGACATACCGTGTGGCAATCAGGAACAACAAGAGGAATGCCAGCAATAGGACTCAATGGGACCGGAACCGCTGAACAACCGAAGTCTGAGGAAGAAGCGCAGCGCACCGACGTCGATGAGGCGGCCACGGACTATTCCCTACGCCCGCCGAGGCGGACTGTTTGTCGGCTCTGCGAACACTCGTCTCACAGCTCAGAGTTCCGGCGTCAAGCAGCTAAGCGTTGCTTGCGCAGGGTTAGAGAGTTTCGGAACGTTGGGAGTTGCAGGAAGAGGGAGCATATTGGAGCGAGGGCCGAAGGTAAAAACTACAATCAGTCCCCAGAAGATGGGTCGCTCAGCTTCAGCAGGAGTCCGTATGCAGCAGTTGGATGACCTCCAGCACGCCTTCATTTCCAGCGGCTGGCTGAAGTCGAAGTGCGACATGTTCAATGAAGAGAACATGCTCCTCTCTTGCATTGCAATTCTGCACGGATCGGCCAGCTTTGCTTATTCCTGAATCATTTTCGTGCATGCTATGCTGTGCCAAAACAATATAGTAACATGCCTCTGTGTGCTCCAGCCAGACGTCACCAAGGACTGCGATTGCCAAGGGAACTGACTTCGCACTTCGGCTGCTTTTTGATTGGGGTGACTTGGCCCCTGCCATGTCCCGGAGCCAAGTCGACTCGGACTGAGCGCCCCAAAACTCGAAGTATCTCAAATCCTCAAATTCACCGTGGTGGCTTGCGATATCTTTTGTTGTGGCGTGGCAAGTTTATTACACGTTGTAGGCTTTCGGGAGTCCATCACCAGACTTTTCACATCGGAGTAATCGCTTCCCCCTAACACTAATTATAAAAACTGCCGGCCCCCAGAATTTCGCGGTTTTGGGCCCACAATTGAAAGTTAATTAAAGCATTGGGGGGGCTTAGGGTTTAAGGCTTGAGGCTGTAATTAGGGCTCTTCATGCGGCGAACCCCCCACCCCCCAATATAAACACTCAACCCCCGGATTTGAGTTTGGATATTAGGGGGAGTTTAATAGCCTTGTCCCTGAGGCCATGGACACGAACCTGTACGCATTGAATCGCTGGGTGATCATGCCAGGTGCTTCGGCACGAAAGTCTTTTCAAGTCCCCTGCAACCTCGCAGATCTAAGCGATTGTGCAACGATTCGCTGTGGCATGACGGCACACAGCTACATGAGACATGTAGACCGGACTGAAACTCATTCTCGCTGTTTGTCTCTGTCTCTCTCTGCTTCTCTCGGTTACATGCCGTGTTGGAACCATTGGGTACCGTTGACATCATGGACGATGATTTGTGAGCAGCGCATGTGATGGGCACGGTTGCACCATATGCAAGGGTTCACCTGGCACAGGCACATCGCCGAGCGCAGCGGAGTCCTTGTCCCCCGACTTGCGCAGGCAGTCTCGTGCCAAACAGCATCTCGAAACGTGTCTTGGTGGTCGGAATCTCATGGGCAATGCGAGCACTCAGAATAGTAGCGGCATGACTGTCCACCCCGAAGTCTGGGCATACGGTGTTTGGCTTGGAGAGCACATTCCGCTCCCGCAACCCAACTCTCTGCCGGCCTTGGAGGTTTTGGGTGCTAATGAAGTAGCTAGGGCTAATGAAGTAGCTAGGGGTGTAGAGTGTAGACTGTTCCGCCCAAGCGCTTCGGTTGGGTGCCTGGTGAAATTTCTGGGCAGGTCAGCTGGCATGCCTTTGCCCACCCATGAGTCCTCCTATTCGGAGCTGATGAATTCCGTGGCTGGGCTTGGGCGTGGGGCGGTGTAGGGTTTACGGAGCTTAGCCGGGCTTTGGGCTGTTTAGAGTTCGTTGGAAGTGAAGCCCTGATTCTATTTCTGCTTTGGAGGCTTTGGAAACACACAAATTAGCTGTTCATATTTATTTCTCCAGAAGTCGCTCCACTGAAGCATGGTCCAACAGTACGGGCCTCTCTCCCTCTCATCTCCGAGGCTGGGCTTCCCGTTGACTACTTTGTCTCGCACTTCTGGGGCCATCCTTTCCAGGACTTTCAGAGTGGCGGGCAGACGGATTCTGGACTCGGAAGGTATTGGCTGGGCCTACTGCAGTGTCTATGCCTATGCATTGCTTATCCGTGTGGTCCGTCGTAGAGCTGCTGCCTGTCTCGTCCTCTTGCTTCGTGCGACACCAAGTACAGCCTCATGTGCAAGACTGTCGCAAATAGGCGCTCCGGCTAAACTACATGGTCTTGTTGTGCCCCGAACCTCAGACCTCGGCGCCGAGACTCCCTCGTCATGACTGTTCCGAGCGAAATTTCCGGCCATGCTGCCAGTCGTTGCGAAGACTGCAGAGGTGCCAGTGGTTCTTTGCAACTCGCACCCAGCCGGACCAGTGAAAGACATGAAAAGCCGTCAACACGAAGCTCACACGTGCCCAATGCCCGCAGGACACCTGGTCATCTCTGAGCCTTTGGTCTTCGTATCCGGGCCAGACTTTGCCACAAGGGACGTGCACAAACTCACGGAGCTTAAATGTCTTAGCCTGCAGTGATGCCACAGGTCCGCTTACTGTAGCATTTTATCAGTGCTTCTCTCGCACCCGAAACTGATGAACCCTGACCGCTGAAAGATGGACTGGCGGCCTAAGGCAAGTCCACTGGCAAATCGGGCGGCTTGATTGAAACCAGGGCCTCACGATGATCACTCACCTGCGGCTTCAGGTTTAGGTTGAAGTTTCAGGGCTGCTCGTGCAAAGAGCTAGTGAAGTGACAGAGGAATTTTCTTACTGAAGTGTTTAGTTCCGCTGCCACCGGAGGCAGCTGTTCATAGATTGCGACAGACCGTAGGGACAAGCAGTGACATGAATGCTTTGACAACTGTCCACCACAACTTCTTTGCTATCCGAGGAAGGAGCCTGAAAACATGGCTGTGGTCTCAGAAAGCTGAGGAGCAGCTGCAGTTGAGTGCTCCGGATTTTGTGCTGGTTGACATGCTGGCCCTCGTCGTCGAATACCGGATCGACTATGCACGGCTTGCGAAGGTGGTACTTCTTCTAGTGCTTGCTTTTTGCCTTGTTCGTTCATTAGCACGCGCTGCCCATCTGGCGGTGCAAGACTCTGGTCGTTGGGACAAGTCGGCCACTCCGAAGACAACTCGGGAACAAGGTTAGGCAGAGCGCCCGAGGTGTAAACTGTAGACATCATTAAAGGGATCCTATTGTTGAACGCTTCGCGTTCTCCGCCTCGGCCCGGCTGTGCTTGAAGCAAGCGCATTGTTTTGGAAGGCACGGGTAGGTCGCACAGGCGAGGTCTTGAGTGAATGAGCGCATGTGCGTCAGAATATTTTAATGTTATACTTGTTTTCATGCTGAGGCTCTGAACAATAATCCCGCGCGAAAGGTTGCACATTACCTGCATGGTCCCATAGACGTTACTGTAACAACTGTATCACACTTCTCGCTGGTCTGGTATACAACCACCCAGATGTTGGAATGGGAATCAAGCTTTGCAACGAAGTACAAGACACAGCCCCAGAATTGCCAGGCTTTGGCATCAGCTTCGCGAATGATGTAAGCTGGCCCGTCTTGCCTCGCTGCAAACAAAAGACGCGGGAAGCGGGAGGGGAAGAGGTGTGGGGAGGAGGGCGGGTCCGGGCAGAGCGCCAGCAGAATGTCTGCACGCCAACCGGTTAAGCAAGGGGTGGGTCCTTGGGAGGGGACGAAGAGCTGGGGAAACAAGAAAGCGTGGGAAGCTCTGATCGCTTCGGTCGGCGCCGACGTGAATTTAGAGAACTACCCTTTCCTTACCCTTGTTAGAAACCTTACAGAAACCCTTGGTAGGAACCCGGAAAAAACGGAAAAAGGGGACCCTAGTTTTAGAGAAGCCATGTACACCGAGGTCTACTGGGTGTGCCTGCTTGCATTGAATCAACATCAGCCAGGCCCGGAGTCCTTCGCTACCGGGCCGAGGGGTTTAGGCTTTGGCGCTTTCTGGGGTTTTAGGGCCTAGGGTTTGGGGTTTGGGGGCGTCTCATCCGGTGTTTTGGCCGGCGAAACCTCCACTCCACCCCGCTCTAACCAGCATACCACTCGGAGTATGACTTTACTGCCGGCCATTTTTCCAGAAGCTTTCGGTCTGATGCCGAATTCGGAGTGCTGCGCACATGTGAACCAGCCCTCCCCGCGTCGCCTTGAATACTTCTTGTTTGCCCGGATGCTTACTTGGGAGCAGCCATCACAAACAACAACTTCACTTCAATGGCTAATCAGCAGGTGCAGCGAACACCGCCTTGAAGGCCAACTAGAGGCTAGTGCCGAAACATGCGGGATTGAAGACAATTCTGAACTCTGGAACACTCGACCCGACAAGCACAACAGAAGGCTTCAATCGAAGAAGACTGCATCTCCGGATCCGAGCTGAAAACGCCTCCGGCACCATATGGCTCGCTCGTTCTTCCACGCACAAAAGCGTGGCACGTGCCAGGATTTAGAGCATCAGCTCAGCTCCGTATATGAGTACGTTAATATGTTCTTATATAAAGTATACCGTAAATGTATTAGAAATCTTATAGCACAACTCAATACAATGCAATACGGTGTGTGTTTGCATATATAAAAGATGTGTGTGAATATATATATATATATATATAACATTACACATTTCTATATATGTACTGGGAGTTCGGGCTGTCGAGTCACCTCCTGCACTTTTGTCTCCGCTGGTCCAAAGGTCCCCTATGGGACGGGCCTAGATTACCTGGAAGTGCATTGTTTTGAAGGCGAAGAGGTTGGTGGCTCTCCGGAGGACGGGGCGACAAACGAGGGAAGAGTGCCGGTGCAAGCCAGTGTAAGGGAGATGCTGTTTACAAAGCTACTGATTATGTTGAGCCCTGACCTGGCGATTTCGCTCAAGTGTGCCCAAAGACGATATGCCGAAAAGTTCAGTGAACTCCCCCGGCCTAGGCATGATGTTAACCGTCGTGTTGTTCGCATCAGCTTGGCTAGCCGCCAGTGTCGATAACGCAGCCTGTGCCGCCGACGATTGCTTCGCCAGGGACGACTCTGTCCTTCTGCAACACAGGGGACGAGTCGCGGATCGGATATCGGGGAAAGGCTTGGCACTCGCGGGTGGAGGATTCAGGGCACATGCGACGCACACCGGGGTCTTGACGGCGCTTCTGAATGTCACGAAGGCAACGTCGAAGGGTGCTGAACCGGGTCTGACAGAGCTCATGAAGAACGTGAAGGTCATCTCGTCAATCAGCGGGGGCTCCTGGTGGTTGTCCCAGCTGGCCTACTCCAAAGCCTTTCTTACTCTGGTTGAGACCATGGCAGTTGATTCCAAAACGGCCGGGCTCTTGTACCAGGAGCAGTGGATCAACCCTTTTCTCCTTGCCGTCCTGGACTCCGACATCTCCCCAGTCCAAGTCCCCACACAAGATCTGGGTGGTGCGTATTCCGACAATTTCAGTCTCAGGGCAGTCCTGGAGAGCGAAACGCCAATGCCAGAGAAGCAGAAGATGATGATGCAGGAGGCCAAGTACGTGAACAACGACAGAGGCGTTGCTGACTCGTTTGGGATGAACTTCATCGAGTTGTTGATTGAGGTCTTCTTCCTGGCAAAGGACGGTTCAAGCTGGCAGCAGGTTGTGGCAGAACTCTTGCACAGCACCAGCCTGGGTGATATGACGGGCTCCGAGACCCTGGGATCGCCGGTGAACGAGTGGGCAACGGGCAAGTGGTGGCTGGCCGGGACGAGCATCAGCACCCCAGGGGGTAAAGGCCCGGGGACGTGCCAGTGGTTCAAGTTCCAAGGGGGCTGCGCCTTGCAGCTCATTGGCTCACCAGGAAAGACCCTCATTTATGAGAACGGCGCTGACGTGGGCAGTGCATGGATGTATTCCGCACCTCCTTGGTGGAAGAACACTGCTGCCTGGACACCGGCTCGCTTCAGCACCGTGCTGGGTGCGGGCGCTGGACAGCCTGCACCCATGAAGTTCTGCGAAAAGGAGTGTGAGAACCTGCAGCTCAACTACCAGGCTATTGGTGAGACAGCTGTTGCCGAAAAAGAAGGCAATTACAATTTCTTCGGCACTAGTAACACATCCCTGTTCTCGGCAGTAAGTGGGTCCTCTGCATTTGCGGGTTTCACTGTAATTCTTGATAAGATCCTGCCTTCCATTATCACTGCGATTATGGCTGCGGTGAAGAAGCTGAAAGTAGTGCTTCCTTCACGACTGGCAGAGAAAATACAGGAGGGCGTCTCCAATCTTTTGCATGCAAAGCTAGCGGTGTGGTCCAAGTCAGCCAAGAACGGTGTGCTGGCCTTCCAACAGGCGTCTGCCACCTTGAAGGAAATCACGAAGTCACGGGGCCATCCACCAGACCTTTCCTTAGACTCCGTGGCAGAGAAGGGGCTCATGGCACTCGTGGATGGAGGCATGACGGACAACACTGGAATTGGCCACGCACTCGCCTCTGGCCGGGACGAGATCATCTGCTTCGACCCGAGCCTGGATAATGTCTGGCAGCTGATGGGTGGCATGAAAGATTACGTTGACCTCTTTGAGCTTCCCGATGTTATTAACCCTTGCCCCATGTGCTACGCGGCTTTTCAATTGTTCAAGGAGAACTATAAGGAAGTTCAAAGCCGATGGCATAGTATCTCGACGCGGCTTTGGATCGATCCCACAGTCGTGCACAGTCTGAACTCCATCAGCGTTGGCACACTAACCTTGACCACACAAAAGAACGATTACTTTGGTGTGTCCGATGGTCGCAGCGTGGTGCTCCATATCGTGAGCGTCAACACATCCGTCGGAATAGGAGGTTACAATTACTACGACTATCCAAAGCTGGTGCAGGACATCGTGACTGTCTTGCTCAGCCCAAGCAACAAGAAGGCAACAGGCACGATGTTAGACTGGTTCCTCTGAGTTTAATTCAATATCGGACGGAGGGCTGGGACTTCCTGTGCCTTCCGCCCTAAAAGAGAAGCCTCACCGGCCCTACACCGATGCAAATTCAGCGAAGTCCCCTCCCTCCAAGGGCCCCTGTATATAATTCGAAAGCCAGCGCTAGGCCTGAGAAGTGAGCCGAAGGCTTTTGGTTTGTGGGACTTTGAGGATGTTCAGGTGCGCGATAGGAGTCATAGAAGAGGTAAAACTGCTTTTGCAAGTATGTTCACTTTTACGCAGGAGTGGTGAGCAACACCGCCCCTGGCTAGCGTCTGCCATGCTTTTGAGGGCCCAGCATTCCCCGCTTCAAGCGTGCCTGGATCCGGTTTTGAGATAGCGCGCTCAAAAATGTCGGAGCAGTGCAGCTGCCAAGCCATGCAATCTTACACCCATGGCCTTGCAGAGAGTGAGAGTCGAGATCGTCAGGAGGGCCCTTTCAATGCCGCGTTGGTGCAAAGTGCATGTGGGGCGGCCTCCTGGCAGAAAGCTAGCATGGAGCCTGTCGAGTCAGAGGCAACATCCGCGGACTGCATCCAAGCCGAGCGTGCACGAGGGCCATGCTGGCTCTCGCTTTGAAAAGACCAGCTCAGATAGCAGATGCGAAGTAGTCCAGAAGCCGGTCCGAGGTCATGGTTGTGGACGAAGAGGTCTCTCCGTTCTCGAGGAATGGAGTTGTTGTAGCGGTGATGTAGCGTGGGATAGCCTTGCAGCCACCTCGCAAACTGAGTTTGCTTCGTCCTTGCTTCCGACTCCCGAGGGTGTGCGCGGCCATCAGCTGCTCTAGTACCGTGATTTTATGAGACCCAAGAATCTAGAGATCTTAGACTAGACTAGACTCGACTATACAGGTACAGACATGCACACACACAGACAAACGGGTTGCTGCTCTTGCATTTTTGTGACAGCCATCTCCGCCATTAGCAGCACGACCCCGGCAACAAAATCTCGAACTCCAGAAGCACAAAACCTACCAGCTGCTCACAGCCACATCCAAACCACCCCTGCCACTGCCACCTGTGAGATAGCAAGCACAAATGGCGGCTGAGATCGTGTCACTGCTTTGCCCCCCTTGCCGTGTAGGATCTGGTGTCTCTTCGAAGTGAAGCGCCTCACAGATCTGAAGAAGGACCCGTTTGTGTTTGGGCGCCGTGTTGCTGCATGGCGTTCGATGTCGATGAGAATACAGCAATGTTGGGGCACTTACGGCTGCTGCAGTAGAATGGGCTTAACGAATTCAGCTTGAAGTTGCACAGTAACACCGTACTGCGTCATTGAAGGGCATGTCGAAGCCCTCATAGATCGTCAGGTGCTTGATGCTGCGCTGCGCATGTCAAGAGTTCTTACCACTGGTTGCGCTTGCAGCGCCTCCATAGAGACACTCTCTTTGGACCGAGTGCAGGATTTTCACTTGATATCTTCCTGTGGTGCGATGGGCTCCAACCTACAGATGGTCGCAGAGGACGAGAAGAGGCCGGTACACTTAGCCCAGAAATTATGCGAAGCTTCTCGAGCCAAAGGTTCCCAATGACAATTTTCGAGGCTGACCACATTCACACCTCATATACAACGCAAGCTCCGCGACGGTGATGTGGTAGAGTGTGTACAGGGGCCACAGGCCACAGGGGATAAGGAGGTCAATTAGCTGTGGATGCTGCTGTGGCAGTAGTAGCAGTCGTCGTAGGAGTAGACGGTGGCCCATTCGACCCATCGTGTGCGTGGCTGTCGGGAGCAACCCGCCTCGAGGTGTTTGCCGCACAGCAGGGACAAATCGTCAGGGGAGTCTGAGTATAGAGACATAAGTTAATGTTGCTCATACTCTTTAATGTTCCCCTGTAGACCCGGCCCGCCGTGGTTACAGCACAACATTCCCAAATCCCCCTTAAACTATTAAGGCTCCTATATAGTACCATTCTCGACTTTTCAATCCGTCCAAGCCATGATAGCTGTTAAAGGAAGCGCAAAAGTCACCAGGGAGCGAGCCCGAAACCTAAAATAACTCAACATATTCGCCGATGGTCAAGCCTTGATTAAACTTATCAGCAAGAAGTGCTCAGCTGCATGTCATTTGTCGTGAGTACATGTCCAAAATCAGCTACTGAATAAGTTCAGCAGTTCAGAGAGCAAGACATCTTGACTTGTTCGTGCAGAGGCAGACGCTTTTGGACTTCACCCGCCGTGTGGCTGATGCGCTGTCGCAAGTGTCGGCTTTCAAGGCGGTGTCGGATTTAAAATTTCACGGGCGACTCAGAGTTTGAGTTCGAGGTGTGTAATTCCATGTGCTTTTTATCTCCAGGCACTGAATGACACGTCCGCAGCTTATATACCACATTTAAGTGAGTCAGAACAATAGCAGCTGCACGAAGCGCCCGCGAAGCGCCATGCATATGCAAGTCCATACTTGGGTCTTGCAGTAACGAAAGACTTGGACGAGCATGCAGCCTATCCTGGCGTTTGAACGCAGAGTCGGGGTGCACTACGCCTGAATTCGCCTGCGTCAGAAGTCCTCAATTGATCCAAATGCCGAACCACGAACACGAGACTGTATTTAAGGCCTGTAAACCGAGACTCAGTTCCCAGCGCTGATGCGATCTCGCAGGCCAGGTCCAGTAGCGAGGAGGACAAGCTGCCTGGCATGGAATCTCACGTCAGACCACTTCTGGCTTCTTTAGTCGATCCCGAATCTCAGGGTTTCTTATGGGAAGGGCTGAGTTAAGCTTCTGGAGTATGATTCGGCAGACCCCAGGCAACAGTGCAGCTCCCAACTGGTTCACTGTTCCACCCGGATGTAAGTTTCGTCGCATGCGGCAGTGGTGCCAACATGTACTTTTGTACTCCCTTCCCCCATATGTTTAAAGCAGGGTAGTCCGCTGGCCAGCCCACCTAAAGTTCACTTCGTTGTGCTGGGAGTCCTCCGCCGAAACACATTCTGCGTTGTGGTATGTATGTTCAACGTCAACTTGGCGATTTAGTGGCTTTGCAGCTATGGCTGTCACGCAGTTTTCACCACAAACGCGCCTGGAAGATAGGTACCAGAAGCAGTCAGAATGATTAAATTGGCAAGTTTCTAGCACGAAGCTTGTTTTGGGGGATCTGGCCCCGAGCACGAGCAGGTTTGCGATTTGGCACCGAGTGGCCGATCCGCATTTGCGCAGAATGCCCTTGGCCATTGCCCGGGCGGCTAGGTTGCGGTTCGATGATGTCAGAGGGATGTGCCAACCGGGGTGTACCAGACCTTGTTGTGTAGGTTCGGGATAGCCAGGGGATAGCGGATAGCAGCTGCGTCGAGACTAGAGCTTCACGGCGATGCAGGTGCGACCAACTTATTTCAGCCTGTGCCAAGATTCTTAATATCAACGCGATCTCTTCAATGGTAGCTGTTCCCCAAATCGTGGCCGTCGGGCTTGGGCTAAGCGCCTCGGATTCAGTACGAGAAAGCCTGACCGCCCGTCCGAAAAGCACATAGGCATGAACTGATGATCTTAGAGCACCATGGTGCACAGTCCTTTGTTCATGTGAACCTACGCTGCAAGTCTTCCTGTCATGCAGGAGCGGAAGCTCTTCAACCCCAATACCTTCAAGCGCTTTGCTCCTCAGTTCGAAACGGAGCGTGATTGCGCGTGCATCTTTGAAAGCTGATAGTGGTACTCGTCTTCGAATTTCCTTTGATGCGATGGTTTAGTCCGAGACTTTCGGTGGGCTGCGGGATACTGAGGAAGCACAGCTCAGCCGGGGGCATCCAAGCGCACCCCCCTTCCCTGAAAAGGCACGAACGACGATCACCTATTCAACGCGTGTTTGTGGACTAGATGAAGCAAGTTGGCCTCGGAAGAAGCCTGAACTGCGACTCCACAGCCCAAAGGACACGACCATTCGAAGTCTGCTGGCTGCACCGCTCTTCCAAACGAGTCTTCAGGAGGAGGCGTGGGGGTTCTGCAGGTTTCCGGCTGCATGACCGGAGGCCCGAATTCTTACCAATTCTTACCAAAGTTCTGAGACAGCTGATCGGGTTGTCAGTGTGAGATACTGTGAGAGAGGATGATGCAGCTGCCCTGGGGCAATAAACTGAGATCGAAAGCCCAGATTCGCATTGCTTGTTGCCGTGGCCATTGTTAAGGTAACATGAGTACTTTCTGCCTCTGACTTTCTATGCTGTCTCAATCTTTGCAACATGGGTGCTTGCACCCCTTGTCCACTAGTGCTGGTACGAAAGCCCGTACTGAAATTGTTAAGCTCGGTCTGTCCAGTGTCATCTTGTGTTTTTTGAACCGTTCCCAACACAGGCATAGTGGTCAAGGTGAACGAGTGATGTTCGGACAGGAGGAAGGATGGAGCGTTTTCGTTGATCATGAGAGGAATAGGCGTGGCTGGCACATCTGCCTGGATGCATACTTGAGCCCTCCAACCCCAAACCCTAAACCCGAAAGCCTTGCCTTGGTTCCAGGATGCGGCCAGTGCGCTCCGCTGCTCAGTCAAAGGAGTTCGGATGACATAGGGGGTTTGGGGTTTAGGGGTGAGCTGCAGGTCACTGTAGAACGTGGCAGCCATTCAGATTTGGACAGAAGAAAAATGGTTTTGTGGTAACGCGGTTCGATGCTCAGGGTTCATGGTTCCAAGGCCCCGCAGTAACTTTCCTTGAACGTGAACGCTTGGCTTGTGTTCACCGTGTCGTGTGCGGGCTGGTGCATGTTGGCACGAAGCCATCTCACCATCACAAGCTTGGAGTTGTGAGGGGGGGGCTGTCTTGGGGACTCAGTGGTGCCGCTCCTTGGATCCTTGCTGACCACAGCTGAGCATGAACGAGCACGACGATCGTGACGGTTCCTCGGGACGTATCAAGACGTTCTGGCCTGTCAACCTTGCTCACACATCCTTAATCAAAGCATAGCATAAGTTGGACACCTATCACGAGGAGTGATTTAGTAGCTGGTGCAAGCCTGTCGAGATTGGAGGCTATCCCCCTAACCCACAAGATAGCTCCTGAAAACCTCCACTTTCAATCGACATCATGCGTGCATATGTGTTTATATATATAAATATTTTTTGTTTGTTTATATTTATATTTATGTATGCTACTCCCCCTCCGGTACTTAGGTTTTCGTCTTTATGTTGATGCTTTCCTTAAGTGGGCCGAGGGAAGGGGCGTTTCGCAAACATGGAATGGCATAGGAAAAACTGTTCTGTCAACGATGCCTGTGGTCGCGAGGAGCCGACAAACAGTAGTGAGCGAGCGGGGGTATGGCGAAGCAGGCCTACTGAAGCTCACGAAAACAAACAGCTTTGCACGGCAGGGGATCTTACTGTAGCATCCTCGTGACCGCCCAGCAGATTTCGTATCAAGGTTGATGGTGACTATGTTTATTTGGCTGCCGTTATAGTTTATACACACAAACACACATTCATTGAACGTCCACTTGTTCATACACAACTATGTCAGTGTTGTTGGTGGGTTTTGCAGTCTGGTACACGAATTAATCAGTGAGGTCATTGTTTAAAATAATCATATACGGAATAAGCCGGAGTGTGAGACAGTGTCACTATACTTGTTAAAATCTTTTGTCTTCGCACTGCTGCACAATGATTCATGCGTATCTGTCAAAGTAGCAGCCAATACCAACAATGGTAGCAGTTCGTGACCTGCTATGACACGTGTATTTTTAGGTATTCTTGCTCGCAGTAAAGCGTTCATTGCCTTAGGAATCCGATCGCCATTTCTTTTCTCAGCCCTGCCTAAACTGCTACATAATCTGTTCTTCTATGTCGAACTCAAACAAATCAAGTGTGGCTTTAGTGTGATGTCTAGCAATGCTGTTATCACATGTTGTAACCACTACCGTAGATTTTGTTACTGTAGTTATTTTTGTACTTCATCAACACTAACCGGGTTAGCATTATGTACATCCACTGTGTCAACTACGAGTCAACTACTCTGGTGATTATTCATTCAGGGTATTTCGTAGATGTTTCAGAAATTTTGGCGTTGGCGTCTATATACAAAGTAAATTTACTACTTGCTGAGTCCTGTGTTTATATATTTTGAGAAGTATAAACTACCCTTCAGCACCTTTTGAACATTCAGACTTTTACTTGTGAGACCTCTTGGTAGGATGATGGTTAACCAATAACACACCTGTTTGTTTCTAACTTGTTGAAAGCGGACTGTTACAGGTGGTGCTCCGAGTCAAACATAATACAACATGCCGTGGCTGCGCATTACACTGTAGGTTCTATGTTCCGTTGTTTATTCGTCGATGTTGCTAGCCTTTCCTTTTTTAAGGCCCAGTTCATTTCGACATGTTTAATTTAGTCTGAGTTTAGTTCATGTTAACTGTGTGCATAATGCAAATCCTGTGCAGTTATTGGTCGGGCTAGGGTTCGTACAGCTTTCAAACATCGAAAGTTTGCACTGCACCTACCAAATGATGACCATTTGACAATGATGTACGACAGAATTCTGGTACAAATGCTAGTCTTTTGAGAAGTGGCTCATTATTGTAAGCAAATCAAGCCACACCAAAAACTCATAAACACAACAACTAAAGCCCCCCGATGCAAACACCAAGAAAGATATGACATAAGTAAATACCTTATACATCTGTCCTAGGAAGTGTGTGATTAAACCAGCATAGGCATGTTCGTACAGCAATAATCTTCCTATAGTAACGTCTCGAACCGCCGGCATGAAGTATAGCTCTGTTCGTGATTCGTGATAAGTAGACAAAACCAGTAAACTGGTGTTCTCACAGCACCGTCTTCAAGCAGAGATTATTTTCTAGTTTCGTAATGGACAAGCTACTGAGTTTAATCAAGGATGCGAATACCTTACCGGCCCATTTTGCAACCACACATTGCATGAGAGCTTAAGATGACAAGCATCATGAGCACCAGTGGGGTCGTTGGAAGCGGCGTGGGTGAGCATTATGAGCATTTGCAGTTTCTTTGGGCTCGCCCAACAGCAAAACATGAGGTATCATGGAAGTTGTTGGTTTTACCTTCCGTGATTGGCTCACGGAAAATGTTGGTAAAACCAAAAAATCCAACAATTTCCATGAATTTCGAGAAACTTCGTGAGCCAGAGCCATAGTTCGGAAATCATGGAAGTTGTTGGCAAAACCAACGCTTTCCATGATTGGCTCACGAAGGGTGGTAAAACCAACAATTCCAAGTGTACAAAATCAGGCTACAGCTCATCCAGTGATGCAGGCCCACTGGGTACCTTATGGTTTCGTTGGGGCCAGAAACCTGCGTTTGGATCGCTTTCGCTAGGAACAGGGATACTGATGGGGATGCAGTCTTTTGACTTTTATTGTGTCTATACGTGGTGTTGGCTTGCTCTTCAAGGAAGACTGCGTCCCCCCTTGGAGTCCCCTCTTTCTCCCGTAAACTCTGTCGGTGCGACTTGGTCAGCTGGGCGGGTGGGAAAAAAAGCAATTCCCATGAATGTCGAGAAACCTCGTAAGCCAGCGCCATAGTTTGGAAAATCATTGGAAATTGTTGGAAATGTTGGCAAAACCAACGCTTTCCATGATCAGCTCACGGTGTTAGTGAAACTAACAATTCCAGCAATTTCCATGAATTTCGATAAACCTCGTGAGCCAGCGCCATGGCTTTGGAAAATCATAGAAATTGTTGGAGATGTTGGTAAAACCAACATTTTCCATGCTTTGTCTGTGGGAAATGGAAAATGGCGGTAAAACCAACAGTTTCCATGAATCTCGAGAAACTGCCATGGTTTGGAAAATCATGGAAATTGTTGGAAATGTTGGTAACACCAACATTTTCCACGATTCCCCGCAGACAAATCATGGAACATGTCGGTTTTACCAACATTTCCAACAGCTTCCATGAATTTGGAGAAACCTCGGGAGCAGAAACCTCAGCGAACCCTGAACTTAGACACATCCAGTAAGCCCTAAACTTAGAAGCCTCCGGAGCCAGAAGTATAGTAAACAAACATTTGCGTAGAGACGCAAAAGCAAAGGGACACGAACACATATTAGGGACACGGAGGCTGACTTGAACAGGAGACGACCTAGGTACCGGGGGGGGGTTACCATATATGTGTATAAATGTATGTATGTATGTATGTATGTATGTATGTATGTATATGTGCTCTGGAAAACCACACAGTCGTGGTGCTTCACTGCAGTACATCCTTTTAACTTGGAAGTGCAGAATTGCAGCAGTCGTTGAGAGTTGCTCTGATGCACGACGAAACACATAGTATACGGAAGTCAGCTTGACCTTTTGAGAAATGGCTGCAAGAAGGGCACAGTCAGGCAATGCTTGACGAGCTGTGGTCTGAAACAGGTGGTTGAGATGGTTGTGGGTACGCTCATGTCTCATGCCACGAGATCAGATCCTCGAGAGATTTCGCAAGTGTCACAATGATTCTTGAGTTAATGTGCTCACTCTTGGTTAATGATTCGGGTTAATGCGCCCGTAATGTTGAAGCTCCCAAGACTCTGAACCCTCGCCTGCTTGTCGAGTGCGAGTGCCAAAAATATGTATATGTATATGTACATGTATATGTATATGGATTCCCTTCGGGGATCATCCGATAAAATTGGAACGACACAGAGAAGATTAGCATGGCCCTTGCGCCAGGATGACACGCACAAATCGAGAAGTGTACCAAGAAAAACAAATCTATACATCCACATTTTTTATTCTGCAATAATGTAGACCAAAGATTTAAGTTCCATCAAGTTTCGAGGTTACATCGGCCTCGGCGCCCCATTTGGCGAGGCGGAGCTGCAGCGGCTCAGTGAGGAGGGAACCGGGATTGCAAACTTTGCGCTGGCCCGTCCTTTTCTGAGGGTCCTCTAGACTCACGTGTGTGCGTGTCTGTATGTATGTATGTATATATATATATATACACACACACACACATGTATCTCTCAATTTGTTTGTTTCCGTATGATAGTTAATAGGGTAGATTTGATTTTCTGGCTAAACTATATTACACTACGCAATATTTCTACTACATGCGATATATTATGTCACATCGTCTAGTAAGATATTGTGTTTTAGTATGCCTTGTCATATTATGCTGTTATACTACGTTATTATCGCAGACAAGGGTATGTTACAGTACAATATATTACTATGGTATAGTTTTCTGCAATGATGTCATTATGTTATGTCATGTTATGTTATGTAACAGTTTACTAAATGATTGGATATCACTAATTTCAGGCCCCAGAACAGCATAGATGTTTGTCTCAGTGAGTGAGGCCTTGAATGTATTGCATAGCTTTCTTGGGCGCTGCGCCTTGAGTCATTGAGTCTCAGGACATGATGTCAGAGCTTTCCACGCAAATCCAATCAAATTATGCAACCCTTCTCGCAGCAACGTCAACCCGAGTCAGCCCAAGTATCCCCTCGTCCTTGCAACCGGATAGCTTTCGAGGAGTGGAAGGTCGACATCTGCCAGGAGAAGGTGCAAGTGCAAAGTGGCCACTAGACGAACAACACACGATTCTGTAAAGAACAGTCGCGCCTATTCCTCCGTTTTGCCCCGTGGAGCTGCCGTAGGCGTGCTAGTTGGGTGAGCGACTGAAAAGGCAGCAGCAGCAGCAGCAGCTGCAACTACTACTACTGCTGCTACTGCTACTGCTACTGCTACTGCTACTACCCTGTCTGACTATTTCTCTTACTCTTACTACGACTACGACTACGACTACGACTGCGACTACTACTAGTACTAGTACTAGTACTAGTACTAGTACTAGTACTAGTACTAGTACTATTACGATTACGATTACTACTACTACTACTACTACTACTACTACCACTACTGATAATAATACTACTTATCTTGAGTGCTGATGTTTTGGCTTCGGGTTTCGTTTAAGGTATGTAGGTTTTTCGTGCCATTGGAGCTGACATGTTTGCACTTGTCTCGTAGTTGTGGACTCGTTGCCACGCGGAGCTGTCACAGGCATACGAAAAACGGTTATACTAGTACTGCTACTGCTACTGCTAGGCAGCTTGCTGTTGCTGCTGCTGCAGCAGCTGCTATGTGCTGCTGCTGCGGCCGCTGCTGCTAATATCACTCCTGCTGCAACTCCTCCTCCGCCTTCTCCTCCTGCTACTGCTACTACGACGACGACTACCACCACCACCGCCACCAAAACACTATCACTACGACTGCTACTACGAAGACGCCGACGACTGCTACTACTACTACTACTACTACTACTACTACTTTGAGGCTGATAGATGTTAGCCCGTGCCTTCTGTTATGATAGATTGCAGGCATAGTTGTGGTTCCTTTTGTGCATGTCTTTGTCCCTCCTGTTGTTGCCGGTATGCTGCCTGTGCAGTACTCACACGGCCTCAGAGGTTGGTCTTTCAGCCACGGCTTCCTTCAAGCACCACGGTGCCCGAACCGAAGCGACAAACCTAAGGCTGTTGAGATGCTTCTGGACTAGAAAGATTCTGCCTTGCCGGACAATCCGAGGTACATGTATGGTTCCTTGGCATTTGCTGCACTGCGCTGCCTACTTCGGACATGCAGACTCCGTGGCGTCACTGGTGCGCCGCAAAGCCAAGCTAGAGGCCATGGATTGGCACGGGGTTTAGGGCTCCGGCTTTCGGTCGGTCGGTCGAGGTGTGTGTGTGTGTGTGTCCGTGCGTTTGTGTATGTGGGTGGAGGTGGGGCGGGGTTTGGTGGGTAGGGATCTGGAGAGCCTTGCAGCACCCTGAACGCTAAACGTGCTGCAAGCTCCAGATTTTCCTCATGCTGGGCAGGTGAAGACGACATTCGGTTTGACACCGCTGCATCAAGCAGCACGGAATGGCCATGCACATGTGTGCGAGATGCTGCTGGATCTGAAGGCACGGCGCGGTAGGCTGACTTGGTAGAATACTGCTATACGCCAGAGGGCCACAGTGCACGGACGGGACGATGAGTGAGGAGGGGTCCTGAACAAATCACGACGGCTGTGGAGCGCACTGCATGCAGGCCAACATCAACGCCGTGACTCGTGACTCGCGTTCAGCAATGCAGAACGCAGCGCACCAGGCAATGCATCGATCTCACATCTCGGTCTAGCTGAAACCACCGTTGCGATCTCTTCCAGTATGTGCCACAGTTCTTTGGGATTGATTCTGCTCCGACAGTGCCCAGGGACATCGTGAAGTTGTTGAACTCCTGGCGAAACGCGGGGCAGACATCAACCACAAAGACCAAAGTGGGGTGGAAGCCCTGGCTGTTGCTCATGCAGGATAGCTGTTGGTCTTTGGCACGCACAGTTCAGATGTCAATGTGTAGTTGCAAGCTTCCCTAAGTATGCATATGTCGGAGAGGCTTTTCGCATAGCCGCGACCCTCGCCTGTACACTGCCTTTGGCAACAGCCCTGCTCAGATCACGGCACTGCATTCCTCATCTGTTGCGGGCTATGACGACATCGTTAAGGTCGGCCTTTGAGAGCTTGAGAGGAGAGCTGGGCTTGAGAGACGCGGCGTGCGCTGCAGAGTTGCCATCCTGAGCTGTATAGCCCAATTTCGTGGAACAGCTCCGCAACACCGGAGCCCTTTGGCTCAGGCTCACCGGTTCCAGTCACACCAATCTCGTCCTGTAGTTGCCTCATTGCTGCTAAACGATATGCGACATTTCTTGCAGATCCTCGCCACCACGATCCCCGTGGTGCTTGCAGCAACTCCATGCAGTGGCGATGACTGCGCGACCGACTCTGATGTGGATACATTGATCCAGACGCAGGTCCACAACGATGCTGCTGCTGAGGGTGGGAGCTCGGCCACCGAGAAGCAAGCTGCGAGCCAGGGACACTCCAAGATGGGTTCATTCCGACGGGATGTCGCTGTCCAGAATCATGCCAGACGTGGCAACTGTGACGGAATCATCGAAGGAATGGGTCGCGGTATCAACATTGGAAACGTTTATGAGTTCGACCAGGGCGATACGAATCCGGAAGTCGTCAACGAGCAGGTCAAGTGGGCCCACGACACGGGATTCAAACACATCCGCCTGCCCGTGAAATGGGATGGCTACTTCGATGCCAACTCCGACCACACGAAGAGGGTCACCGAAGTTGTGGACTACGCCTTGGGGCTTGGACTTTACGTGGTCGTCAACTCCCATCACGAGAAATGGCTGGTGGAGCACTATGATGCTGCTAGGCAGGACCTCAAGGACCAATGGTGGAACATGTGGACTGGCATCGCGGGTCATTTCGCGAACAAATCTACTAAACTTGTCTTTGAGATTCTCAATGAGCCTCACATGAACTTTGGAGGCTGGAACGAGCCTATACATCCATCTGAACAATACGCGATCGACCGCACCCGCGAGATCAATGGCATGGGAGTCGATGCTGTACGCCGTGTGCCCGGCCACGAGAACCGAATGATCTTCGTGCACCCGAATGCCATGTCCAGCATAGCCACCGCCAAAACAGTGTACCCCGATAAGTGGTCTCTTCCCGGAGGTGGAAACGATGCCTGTGTGGGCATCACCGTGCACACGTATGACCCCTATGACTTCTGCAGCGAAAATGGCAATCCCTACTACTACGGATCCATCGGGGCCATGAAAAAAGGTCTTCTCAACATCTTCAGAGACTTTCGTGACTATATCTTCGATACGGGGATCCCAGTATACGTCGGAGAGTACGGCGTGGGCCGGCAGCCCGAGCGTCAGGCGGAGAGGGACAACGACCTCGTCCGTGAATATTACAGGTTTGTGACTGGCCACTTCCGAGAGGCTGGCTTTGCCACTGCTGCTTGGAACGATCCTGGATGGTTCGCCATCTACACGAAGCAGGAGTACGGACTGCACACGGCCTGCGTGTCACCCTATGTGTAGAGAGCGGCACCTCGGCCAGAGCGCTTAAAGTCAGAACCGGTGAAGTCTGCCGAATTCATGAGTGGCACCTACAGTAGCTTTAGCCCAGGACATCCTTGAGCCTCGATGCACTGTCTGCAGTTTTGAAGCGCAGCGCGTCACCTGGCAATGCAAATCCCTGCCAAGTCCGGAAGTGGGCGGGTCCCAACCCTGTTCTGATCGTGCAGCTCATCACGGGAGCGGGCTGTTAGTTCCTGTGGCACGTCCATTTCCGGCTCTAGGGTGTTCCCAGCAGTCACCTTGAGGTGGTGCCGAACTAGGGTAGCCTAGGTGCAGCCTATGTGTTGGGATCCAGCTGGTTGTACTGGTAGGCCTTTGTTGACCCAGTTTCTGAAAGACCTCAGGACTGACGAGTTTCGGCTGGTCCTTAATTCTGGAACCGGCCAACACTCATGAGTTAGAGCAATGCCTCTTTCTCTCACCTTCCGGGTTCAATGATTGGCTCTTGGGCATGCGTCTGTTGGCATGACAGTCTTCTGATTATCCCCGAGGTAGCCGATTTTGTCCATCTCATCGGGACGGAAGGTGTACCCTGAAAGGATCCTTGTTGCGAACCGAGAAGCTCATTTGGCTTGTCCGACTGGGAGCGCAAATCAGAACCTGCCCATGGCGTGCGATGCAGGAGCCCCAAAAACAGAAGCTACCCAGTCCTGTGCCCTTTGTCAGGTGCTGATTCGTGCCCGCGCAGACTGTATGGCAAGGAATGGCGAAGCACCCCAGCTCCAGAAGGAATTGGTCTCTAGCTGTGTTTAGCCGATGCATGCTACAAGTGTTTGATGTGTGCTGATGAAGTCGACATGTCGTCGAGTTGTCGTCGCTTTGCCGTACGATCAACTGCGATCGCCGACTTCGCACGGGCATCAACGTGCAGTCACATGAAGATGCTTTGGCACGGTCCCTGGAGAGCCGTTCAGATCAGGGGAGGATCACGTTTGAGGTATTAAGCAACAATGATGCTTTCCTGAACTATAAACCCTAAACCCTAAACCCTAAACAAAGAGCTATAGTAGCAAAATCAGTATTTCGACAAGTATCCCGGCTCTAGTCTCGTGGGCTCTTGCCGCAAGAGCCCGGCAAAGAGAAACACTCTTTCCCCAATTTTACCGTGGAAATTGCTAGGGATACAAAGATCAGATGTCAGGGTCTTTCGTTTCTGCTCCCTTCGAGCCCAGGATCTTACGCCCCTTCATCTGGCCTCGAGGTCTGGCTTCGTCGAGGTGCCTTAACTTATCAATGGGGTGTCGCATACTACACGTTGGTATGATCGGGAAGCATTCATCTCAAAAGTGTTCGACTTCTTCAGCCTGCAAGGAAGGACGGGTCAAGAGCTGTTAAAGAAGATTTCTCGTCTCAGTCTCATCATGCCTCCGCTGCGATTCTTGATCCTCCTGCAGATCTGTCTAAACCTTGGCCTGGCAACCGCTGGCAGTGCGTGCGGACGGTGCCGTGTGCTAGAAAGTGTAGAAAGTTTGCAAATCTTCTAGAAGTCCTAGACCTGCAGCCGCATGCGAGGTGGCGAAGGAGGTTCTTGAGAGCAGCCCTGAGAGGCTCGATCTTCGCTGACCTTTGGGTTGGGGATTCCAGCTCAGCCTGGAGTGGGCTTTGGAAGTTGTCTAACACAGTCTCAATATGGCCCGAAATCTGAGCTCTCGGCAGTTGCCGAGAGAGGGCTCTCAGATTGAGAGCAGCCAAACCCGTTCCTAGCAAGTGCTCACCGGAGCCGATGTAGTACGGTAGAGCTTCTGCTGAAGCTGGCCGTCGTGGTCGGCTTGGTATGGCTTCCCTGCCATCTTCAGAAGAGTAGATTTGAGTAGATGAAGTCCGTGTATGGCGGGATGTGTTCACTTCGTTTGGTTCGCGGATTGCGGTTTTAGAATGGTTTTAGGCCAGGAAACTGCCGAAGCTCTTCATCACAGGCTCCCATCCCTGAGATGCACTTGGGGAGATGGGTATTTGGGGCCACCTTTGTCCTTTTTGTTTTCTCATGATTCTCATGTGCCACAGAATCCATCCTAGCCGTCGGCGTGTTGTGTTTCAGTTGCCGACGCAACATGTCATATTTCCACGTGACACTGTAACTGTACTGTATAAACAAATAGATATGACTATATATATATATATAGATACACGCATAATTATGAATATTACATATAGTTTGCAACACACACATACATATATACATATATATATATACACATAAATATAAATATAAATATAAATGTATATATATATATATATGTATATATATATATATATATATTTATTTATCTATTTACATACATGCAGAATTTCAGTAGACAAGCCGTCTGGCGAATTATGTGTGCTTCACTCCCCCATATGTTCTCGCCTCATGTTGTGCCGTATCAGTTCACGATCAATACAGTTGCCAATGCTGCCAATGCTACTTGGTTGATACCATACAGCGAGCCGTTGCAACATGCCGCTACCTTGACATGTAGAATGGGAGAGTATTGTCCCCTGCTCGCACAGTCACGTGCGAAGAAGCATGGCCGGAGCGATGTCCCGCAAGGCACGCGGAGCTTGCTTTGTTTTCAGCTTCAGGCGTCAAGGGTCCCGGTGACGCGTCTTGGGGTTCAGAAACAGAAGAAACCTCAAACTCGTCAGGGTGGTATTGCTGAGTTTGGTATAGTTTGGTCAGGCATGTGCGTCAGCGTGGTCTGGGTCTGATGAAACCAGGGCCCCGTTGAGACCACGGGAAGATCCACTTCCTATTTTTCACGCATATGTGTGGTATGGCAGAGGCTCTATCTCATGCATCTAGCAGCTTACAAACCGAATGTGAGGCTTGTTGGCTCCACTTGCTACATATACTATAACAAGGTCGCAAGTCATCGTATCGTCTGGGGTTTCATGCCGCACTGTAGCATGGAGTGTTGGCGCATGTTACGGTTCTGGTGGAAGAGCGTCAGCGACACGATGGCTGTGACCGTATACAAGCTGTAGAACTGGATTTTGGAGCATATCACAATGCAATGAGCTAGCGGATTTTGTTGCAAACTACGTGTCATCCTGCACATTGCACAGGGCAGCGCACTGGACATGGCGGCCACGATGGAAATGGCGGACAGCTTGCTAAGCGCGTTTCGCAATTCCTCCAAATAACGCCTTAGGTTCCTGCAGACTCTTAGACCTGTGCCCACGTAACAGAAGCATGAATCTCACTGCCACTATTGTGGGACACATCCCAACATACTCAGAGGATCAAACGATCCAGCCCACTTCTTTGTTGAAGGCGCCTGAGGGCTTCCGCCAAGACGCGCGGAAGCGCTTCCTTTTTCATAGGGGGTGCATATAGAAAAGGGTGAGTCTCTTTTTTCTCGATACTTTACATGATAAGACCGTCTTCATGTATTATGCGATCATATGATGTTTTAGCATATAGACACGATTTACGACGGAATTCGAAGGACTTCCTCCGCTCAGTCACTGACAGCTGAGCGAAGGCCGGAGGCTGCTGCTGAAGTACCTGTTTGTGTGTTTCCCTGTTCGTTTTGTTGCTGGAATGTTAGCCACGAGTAAATACAGAATGTATGGCATGTAGGGACCCACCTGCCTACCTACCGACCTACCTGTCTTCCTGTGCATCTATCTATCTGTCGGCATTCTCATCCTCAATTTACTGTTGTTTGGATTCAGTTTGGGTACCACGATACCATGATTCGATCGAGGCTCACCGTCCGCAGCCGACATGGGACCAACACAGAAGAGGGGCAGCATCCACCTTGCGAAGCAATGGCAATCCCCTCAGAACGACAGGCCTTTCAGACTGCAGCACCTTGACCAGCAGCCTCAAGAACCAGTTACGTGTCCACGGCCAAGTCCGAGTCCAGAAGTTGATGATTACATCGAAGGCTTCGCCCGCGAGATACTGCATCCCTCAGGACTGGACACTGGATTCCAGGCGGTTCCATTGCCTCCCATGCCACCACTGGCGCCTCGTTTCGAGGATGTGATGACCAGCGAGGGCCAGGTTGATCAGCCTGGGAACGTCTCGGAGTCTGTCAGCACTGAACCCCGGCGCAGTGAGGGTCGAAGCTACACCTCGAAGCCGCTAGTCAGGAGTCTGACAGCCCCAAGGGAACTGGAGCAACCAGCAGAGGTCCAGCAGCTCTGCCGACATCTCAGCCTGGAGCAAAAGATGGCCTTGGCCCAGCGCAATCAGCAATTGCGCTGGGAGCTGGGGCTCTTGAGGCACCAAGGTGTGGCCATGCGGCGGCACTACCAGATGGCGCGCAGAGATTCGAAGGAGAAAGCAGAAGAGTTGCAGCGAGTGGAAGCCGAGTTGAAGACCAGCAAGCAGCAATCCGAGCAGATGGCGGAAGCTCATGTTCAGCTGTCACGTGACCTCCAAGATCGAGAAACAAGGCTGGCAGAGCTCCAGGTGGAAAAGGACTCTTTGAAGACAGCGGAGGTGGCGGCCCAGAACCTCGTGGCCAGGCTCCGAAGAGAAATTGTTGTGGCGAAGGAAGCCGGCGACTTTCAGCAGAAAGTCTCACAGGAGCTTCGACAGCAGCTCTCGGAGAGGGAAGAGGCCATTGAGAAGCTAGAGCAGCTTCATGAGCAATACCTTCAGCGGATCGATGCTGCAGAGTGCTTGGCAGAAAGGCAGAAAGCGGATTACGAAATGCAACATGAGCAACTCCAGGGAGACTTGAAAGAATCCCAGCAAGCCCGGCACCTGCTTGAGCAGCAGGTGGCTGAGCTAGAACGATACCTTCAAAACCTCTGGTCCACTTGGGACACAAGTCTGGCAGGGGCTAGAGAGAAGCTGGCACTCACAACGGCGGAGCATGCTGAGAAGTTTGGTCGCGCGGCAGCAGAACAAGCTGAGAAGCTCGGGCAGGCAGCAGCAGAGCACGCCGAAAAGCTCGGGCGCTCCGCCGCGGAGCAAGCGGAAAAGCTTGGGCGCGCAGCGACAGAACAGGCAGAAAAGTTCGGGTTCGTTGCAGTCGAACAGGGCGAGAAACTCGGACGTGCTCTGGCAGAGAACGCAGGCCTTCAGTCGCGGCTGCAGGCTGCTGAACGACGCGTCGCCGAAGCGATGCAGGAGCTACATGCGACATCGGTGAGGGCCAAAGCAGCCGAAGAAAGCCATGCCAAAGCGCAGTCTGAGCTCCTTGAGACTAAACTTGGTGCCAGCAGTCAGTTGGAGGCAATGCGACGCCAAGCGGAGGCCGAATGCCGAAGGCTCACACGGCAGATGCACACTTGGAAGGCCAGGGCTCAAGGGGAGCAGGAGCGTGCAGACCAGGTTCTTCGAACGGAAGAGTCTTTCAAATGGCAGCAACAGGCTGCTTTTGCCTTGGAACGTTCGGAGCTAGAGTCCCAGGTGCATCGGCTGCGACGCGAAGTGTCGTTGATCCGTTCTAGGGTCCGTGATGGAGTTCAGGCAATTGTCTCGTCCGAATTCATGGCGACAGCCCACTAGACAAAGATGCTGGGGCTGCAGAGCATGACGCAAAAGAAGGTGGCAAGTGCAGTCCAAGTTCAGTGAGAACGAGACGACACATTCTCAAGCTCTCACATGCCGTAGTTCCGGGGCAGCTTCAAGGCCTTAACTCATGGGAAGGAAAAGAAACATCGAAGCCTCATTGCAGGGCGTCCTAATTATGGTTTAACACCAGGATTGCAGGCGCACCGGGCAATAGCGATCCAGTTTCTTGTAGCACTGCACGTGTTATTCGAGAAGGAGTTGAGAACGACACTGCTTTGCTTTTCGGCCGCGGCGAGGTGACCCACAACATCAATCACTTCCCGTTGGTCGGCATGAGAGTTTTGGCGACCGGCTTTTCTAGCTAACAAGGCAGCAGGGCCGGTAGCTTTCTGCTTTGTTTTCGGACCTCCTGGTGGTCCGGGGTTTGCGAATAAAAAACTTGAGCGCCCAATTAGCCATGAGTCAGCAAGCCAGTTTGTGGAGGGAAGCCCCCGTGGAAAACATTCGAGTCTCCAGTACCCTGGCCACGGGCACCAGTCAAGCGATTCAACTGCCAAGGGGACCAGCCGAAGGCCTCGTCCATGTTGGCAGGGGTCATGTGTGATTCAGTGAATCCAATTCGGACCTCAAATTACGAACCCTGAAAGTGAAACGTTTAGATATCCGTACTGAGCTGATGAATAAACTGAATGCAGACTGAGCCCAGGAGCCCTCCAAACCTCCATTTTGACAAAGCTTGCCAGGGGTCTTCCTATTATGAGGAATTCCTTATTTGGGCTGAGGGTGCTTATGGCGTTGCATTCCTTCCGTCCTATAGCTAGACCTGTCAACAACCCCTGGCATGGTGGCCGGCCGACGGCAGCTTGCAAACGCAAGCTCGCCTTCTTGCAGTCTTCCAAACCTCTTGCTGCCTGTAGACTACAGAGCCTACAGTCGCAGATAGCACTAGGTTTCATACACAAGCTTTGCGTACGTTGGCCAGAGCGCAAAATCGGCGCAGCTTCTGTGTCATCAGCGACAGGGACTATGTGAAGCTTGCGCGCGAGCGCACCCCCGAATTTCCCAATCTAGGCCAGGGGTCGCGACTCGCGACTTTGCATTGGTCGTTTGTTCGAGCTGACATTCTCAATGCAAGCACTAGGCGGATCACATCTTGCAATCTCGTGGCAACCATATCGATGCGACTATCCAGCTCAACTTCGGTAGAAGGCAGGGGCAACCTAAGTGTCCACTCCTGCTGTGGTTTTTGCTTGGCATCTATTCCTCGACAATAATACAACATGTAGAATTATGTAGACGAACCACGACTGTGTCGTATTTCTTGCGACAGCTGTCAAATGTCTGGCGTTCCTGCTACATGACGTCTCCGGCCGAAGCCGCCCATGAAGAGGCGAGCACAAAGCCGTGCGAGCTGGTTGGGCAGAGGTTTGTATTGGGATTCGGCGAATGTGGAATGGTCCGATGCACGAACTCTGCAACATTTCATAGGTGAAATGAGAAACTCAAACCCTACAAGCCACGAAGTGGTAGTGGCCCTGGAGAGCCCGTCGATACCTTCTTTTTTTTCAGCGGCTGAAGCTTCAGATCTAGCCGCTCTGAGTGCCTCAACCCGAAGCTTCAGTGAACCGACCGGGAGGCTGCGGCACCTGTGTGTGGGACTGCCGGCAGTACCTTTCGCGACAGCCATTGAGATGAGCTCCATACCATACATACATACATATAAAGGTATGTGTGTGTATATATATATATATATGCCTGCATTGAGATCAGGTGCTGCAACCCCCAGATACGTCTAGGCCGCTGCCCCCGAAAACTGCGCAATGCCAAAGCCGAGAAGTGTACCAGGACCCTCTATGGGAACAGCGTTCTGGTGCCCTCAAACCACAGAGGCTCTTGCTCCGGGGTGTCCGTAAAGAGAAGGTCTCCTCGGTTCGAGCTGTGGGATCAGTCGCCGGTTTGTCGCTACTGCTCCTGGCGCATACCTGGCACCGGGGACCGAAATTCTAGGCATCTCCGTCGCGGCAACTGATCACCTGTGAAAACTTCCCTGGTGGCCTTCCTGACGGAACTGACCTTGAGCACCATTGCAGGGTCATCAATGGACCTACTTTGCCGCAGGAGGTGGGTGACCTTGCCATGTTCTGCAAGTCTCAAGAGTTCGGTAGGCGTAGCTATGTGGCGACCCAAAGTCCGAAGAGCCGCGCATCCTTTTGTGAACCCGTTGCCTCGACTTGTGAGGAGCTTTGGCACTGAAGTTCGAGAGCTTTCTGCCCTCCTCCTGTCTCTCGAGGAGGCACCGGTCTAAAAGTAGCTCGTGCTTATTGAAGGGCAAGCGGTTGCTGGTCCGAGCGAACCGCTACCGCTACTGGTACCCTCAACTTTCCAAGTGCTGCTTTGCACGCAGGCTTTGTTTCTACAGCTCCTGCCTCAGCTCTGGAAGGGTTCCTTTTGGAACATGTTGTGCTGGCCTTCTGCATCAGGTCAGAGCTGCGCGTTCTTGATGTCCGGACCCAAAGCATGGCTGGATCCCGAGGTTATTGTGGAGACTCGGCTTAGCGTGACACTCGCTGTCCTGTTTTGTGCCGCACCCGACTGCCGAAGGGCCGATTCAACCGATAGGGGATTAATTCCTACCGGCAGGTAAAGATATCCGTAGCCCCCATTGGTATCCGTACTTGATTGGCCGTGTCCCATGCATTGGGATGCACATTCTGGACGCGGCAACCTTCAGCCAAATTCGGCTCTGAGGGAATCTAGCATCTGACCTGTCCCCCAAACTGCACCATCGCAGAGAACCATGGCCGAACTCGACGATGAGGTGAGGTTGGTGCCGGAGAGCCCTGTTAGAGAGCGTATGAGAGAGAGACAGGCATTTGAGTTGCTCGCAATCATGTTACACGAAGCTATTGTTACCATTATTATTGTCTTGATAACTTGCATGAGAATAATAGTACTGACAACAGTAGTCTAAATAACAACAGTAATTAGTACTGTTAGCATTACTTCTATTTTTGTTGTTATTCTAATATGAGTATTGCTGGTATCAATTTTTATTGTTGCTGCTACGCTAATGGTTATGAGTATTATTGTTAATATTATTACTGTTAGTATTATTCTTATTATGATTATTATTATTGTTATTAGTATTATTACTATTATTGTTCTTATTATTATGATTATGATTATTATTCGGTCCTTTGATTTTGGGGGTTTCGGCTCCAGGAGGTCGCCGTCCCAGAGGCCGAGCCCGAGGAGGAGGTGACCGACCTCATGGGGGCGGTGCGGGGCGCCTCTCGGACCTGTATTGCCCATAGGCCCTAAAGTACGTAGGTTTAGGGTTTAGGGTTTAGGGTTTAGGGTTTAGTTCCTTTGTTCGCTGGCACACAATCCAAGCCCATGCTGAAAAGGGTTTAGTTCCTTTTTGGGGTTCATAGATAGAATCCTAACCCTAAACCCTGAACCTTAAGGCATAGACAACTCATTGTGTCACGCCGACTTTGCACCTATGAACCCTCGCCTGGCTTGTCCGAGTTGTGAGAGTGTAAACCCTAAACCCTGTATTAATGTCAATGTCGGGAGTTGTTCATATTAACTCCTTCCAGTCAGTTCTGCAAGCCGAATGGGGCTGCATCAGATTGTCTCTGAAACAGTGAACAAAACAGTGGATATTTGTATTCAGGGTACTTGTATTGAGCTGTATTGGGGCTTCAGAGCGGCGGTTACGCGAGGTGGCCCGATTCTGCCTTCCAGGTTCAGAAAGGGTTTCTTTACTTTGGGTTCCCTTATTCAAGGGCCTCTGGAGTCTAATTTATCGGGTCTTACAGTAGGATCTTGACGTTTAGGTTTGCGTTTTCTGAATCACCCAGTCTAAGAGCTTACCCAGACTGGCAAATAGCCCAAACTAGAGTCAAGATATCTGGGTGAAAGACTCAGACACGTCCCACGGCGCTCCTGCACGCGCACGGGTGTGGGTTCTGCTGTTTTTTGGCGGCAGTTGCCTGCAGCATGGCTGCGCGATGACACGGACGATTGCAGTCTCTCTTCTACTCACACAGGGGGATTTGATATCAAGGATGTCCAGACATGGCGGCTTTGATATCAGAGATTTCCCCCATGGCAAGAGAAGGAAGCATACTTGAAGGCCCCTCCGAGCTTTGTGCTGATTGCCAGGATCAGGAGCTGTGTATTTGTCCTCGGGGATGCTATGTCGTTTGCTCCGCGTGGAAAGGCTTGTGACGTGCGAGGTTCGGGTGGCTTCTTCCAGCAAGGAAGATAGCCACATGCGAAAACCAGGCGAAAGACAGATAGACGCTACAAAGGTGAGGATTGTGAACACATCCATCTTTGCACCAAGAGAGAACCCAAGATGCAGCAGAATCGAATTCAGCTCTTTGTACATTCGGGCTGCGCTAGCCATGGCAGCCCGATATTCAAAGCATGCCGAAATCGGAGCTGTGGTTTCTGCAGTGGAGACAGGCAATGTCTCAAACTTCGGCCTGGGCCAGCATTGACGGTTTGCGCGTACGCGAACGGTCGCGGCAGAGGAATCGCATCTGGTGGCAGTGTTTGAGGGAGCTACTGTCCGAGTTTGCGATGCTGGAGCTAAGCATATACCTCCGAACAAGTACAGAAGATAGACTGTGTCTGCATAGCCGTCGCGCCCATACACGACCTGGAACTGAACACTGTAAGCAGAGGAGTTGGAGGATTGAGGAACTTCGGGCGAATCACGAATCAGTGTAATTTCGGAGCTGGGTGTTTGTCGGCAAGGGGGCGGGGAACATCAAGTTTTCACAGTTGTTTAAAATCACCCCTTCCCGTGCAGAGTAGAGCTGAAAAGCAACTGCCCCGAACTTGAGAGGCTCTTGGTTTTCGAATTCTGTACAAGTGAAACCGGTGAGAGTCCGTGTTCTAGCTTCGAAGGCAGCATGATCTGTGCAGAATGCAGGCTTCGCTGTCCGCAAGGGCGTGGGCCTTTCATGCTCACCTCATCCTCCCTAGCGCGATCACAGATCCGCACAAGAATACCAGCTACCTACCAATGCGAGCAGGTGTGATTCGTGTTTGCGTCGAAAGAGTAGCTTCCAAACCGGAGCTGTAAGGTACTCAAGAAGTCACTGATGGTGGATGGCGCCATTCGCGGACTGCATGAGGTGGGCCGTGTATGCCGTGTCATTGTTGAAGAAGGATCGGGGGCTGGGGCTCGGTATGCTCAGACTTTAGTTTCTAGGTATTCTAAACTTCGAAATCACAGAAGGGCATGACAGATCCGGCCGCGAATGGACTCCTGCGGTCAAGTCTTCTCCAGTCTGCAAGGAAGTCAGCGATGGCGAGCTATCCTATGGCATATGGCCACATGTTCAGATACCTGCAAGCCCTGTGCAAACAGTTGGGTCTTACGTGCAACTGCAATTTTAGAAGGTCCGCAGCCAATTCTTACTTAAAGCCTTAACTGGCCAATGCCCTGAAGCTTGGCAAAACCATCAATACGGTTTATACTACCTTAGACTTTGCCCAAATCCCGGACAACGTCTATTTGCCCCGATTGTCCGGGTCGTAAGCCAGGTGGCCAAGCACATTGAGGCATGCAAGGCGCAGGTCGCGCCTCGGATGCCTCGGGACTATCCTTCGGGGTTGAGGGGTTGCCGGTCGCCTTGGTACATGGGCTTCAACGACCCAAGGGGCCACAACCGACTATCACGACCCCCCCATCAACCGAACAACCCAGCCCTTAAAACAAACTATGCCAGAGACTACGGAACAATGACAACTGGTCCAAGGCTGGGGCTTCGTGCCTTCTTTGAAGTCTACAAGTGTTACTAGCACCGCTTTGTCCTTCCCTTTTCGTGCTACATGCCGATACTGCCCATAGCCATACGCAGGGTGCCGCAACTGATGCGACCATTTCGAGCCTGTGTTTGTTGTATCACGCGGGAAGCGCACAACAAAAAACTAGGCAGCGAAAAAAACAAAATGGGGCGCCATGGTTGGGGGCAAGCAGCCAAACTGAGTTGACCTTGAGTTCCTGGGCAGTGGCAGGGTCTCTAAATAGGAGCTTACGGGGACAGTGCCAAGAGCTCCCAAGACATCAAGGCAACAGGGCTTGGAACCTTCGGGACCTGCAACACGCAAAGTCACCAGAGCCCAGGTGTTCCTGTCCGAGTCCTGCAACGAGGCCTTCTGTGGAGCTGTGCGTCTAGGGCGAGGACTTCTAGGTTTCTGGAGTCTGGAGGTCACAGAACAGAGTCGTTTGGTGTTGTTTGTCTCGGGGACTGCCAGTCAGTAGGAAGGGCTGGCTAAAGCTTGGCACCACGACTCCCGAACCTGCAGGCGACGTACAAGAAGCTCATCCAGGGGCTCTGCGTGGAGAAGAACTTTGGTGGCTGTTCAGTTCTTATAAGGGCTCAGTTTCTGCAGCACAGCCGCCGCTGCAACGACAAATTTAAACTTGAGCTTCAACCGCATGGGAACGTAATGTATATGGTCGAGAGCACGTCTGCGCATAGTCGTCGAGGAATGTGCCGGTCATCGACGTCCCGGACAACAAAAGCCTCGGCGAATGGGCGGGCCTTTGCAAGATCGATGCTGGGCTGATCTGGTTTGGGGCGTCGTTTAGAGTCGTGACCTACTGTGGTCAGAGGCACAAGGCGTCACAAGCCTTTGCAGTTTTGCGAGGCTGTAAGACGTACTTCTCAAATTGAATTGGAGGCCAAGGATAGTTCAGAAAGCTTCGTTGTTGAAGCGAAACTCCGAAACTCGGGTCTCCTGAAGGTTGCTGAAGTCTTGCATCCAATGAGCTAGGTCTGGAATACCTCGATGTTTGCACCACATGCAGAGATTGTGCAGCAGTGAACCCCAAATACTTCAGCCGGTTAGTCCTCTCGAATGTTTTAGCCGGCGTGGGGTTAGCAAGCCCCATGTTGGAACAAGTCATCATTCCAGTTCGCTCTGCAAGGACAAGGATGGCATGCCCCGCAAGGTCGTCGGTGCAAGCTGCGTGGCCATTGTGGACTTCGGTGAGGAGGGTGAGGCATACAACTTCATGATGTACCTGGACGAAAGTGTCGCAAGACTTTCTTTGCGGCTGCATAGTATTCAAACAAGACTCAACCTTCCTTGAACAAGAGCAGTTGAGGAAGCATCTCGGCAAGTGAGAGCGTCAACTCTTGCGGGAGAGGCATGCGAAGATCCGCGCGAAGCTGACAATGAAGCCTCTCCCGTTTCGGATGAGAACAAGACGGGGGACAACAGATGTGAAGGAAAAAAGAGCTCCAGTCCTAAATCCCAAACTGCGTCAAGTCTCCAGCGCGTGGAGGTACTGTATACTGTATGCAAAAGTGCCACTGGTTCACTTTGCGGCTGTTGCAGAGGTCTTGCACAGGTTCTGTTTAGCCGAGGTCCACACGTCTGACTCCTTGTTCCGGAAGTGTTGCGAGCTGGTCGGGGCCTTTGCGCCCGGGAAATCTGAAGATGTTTAGGGTTTATAGAGATGAGGGATGCAAGCATTGGTTGTGCAGCTTATGAACGAAGAAGGAGCCACAACTGGTGAAATAGTTTTCCGACGCGCCCCCACATGTCAGACTGCTGGCATCGTCCGCGCAGACGGGACTTCCTGCAGGTCTTATTCGCATTTGTAGTGCACGACTTGCATCTTCGATTGCTGTAGGCAGCAAGGAAATTGCAAGTCTGTAGTCCTTGGCCGCCATGCAATGTTAGCCTGCTTTGCCTTGTCAGACGACTCCCTGAGAGGAAATCCACTTGGTCTGTGAGATGCACATAGAATTCAGGTCACGGAGTTCCCGAGCCGGTACCTGGCCTACCGCCACTACCGATTGCAGGGCTGGACGGTGTGCCCAGCAAAATTTGAGCTCTTTTTTCGGGGAGGGGAAACTCCAGATTTGTCTACTTTCCAGCGCTCCAACATGCCTAGACTACTAGACAGGGCGCACGCGCACACCAGCACAGATTCATGCTCAGGAGGTGCGTGGAACGTTTGTATGTGTAGGTGTTTCGGTGGAGCTCTGTGTTTGTGGGTGGGTATGTATAGCGCTCAAGTGTACTCCAACCTTCACACAACAACAGCCCACAAGAAGCACCAACCATCCAGGTATGCCCAGATTCGCTCAAGTTTGGTGCAGACTTCCTGCTGTACGATGGGCGGCCAGACGAGGCTGGATTGGCTTGGGTGGCCTCGTCTCGGAGCGAAGAGTACACAGGGCTGGAGTTCGAAGCGTGGGTCTAAGCAGGAGACGACCTGCATGCTGCACAGGTAGAAGTTCAACGACCGCAGCTGCATCTCAGGGCACAGAGAAGAATCCTACAGCATGCCCGTGGGTCTCTGGTTGAAGCAAGGAGCCTGTCAAAGGCTAGCCACCAACCCCTGGAGGTCCACGCAGACTATGCTTTGATCCTTGCCACCGAGTCCTTGCAGTGGAAGGCCCACCGGCCGCAGGATGTTTTGCTAAATCATGGAAGAAGGCCCCACACACTTCAGGACGTGGTGATGGCGAGTCGTTTGGCGCAGCTGGTGGCCAAAGAGCTGCTACTGAGCCTCGGCTGGATGTTATCTCAAACTGTCAGCCTGAAGATCCTGCCCGTAGGGCCCATGGTCTTGCGACGGTGCTAAGACAAGAGCAAGTTGTGACTCGCTCTTCTTCACACGATAAAGGAAATAGAGCAGAAGCAGTGATGTTGAGGACCGACTTCCCAGCTGCTACTGAATGGGATGCACCCGTACCGAAACTCCTTGCGTCCTTCGCGAGCTGCCGTCATGAGATGCATGTACGCGTGTGGCCATACATACAGTGAAGACATGAGTTCTCGCCACATGGCATGTGCTGCTCAGGGTCGCAGCCAATCCGTCTTCAAAGGCTGAGGCCTGAAACCCCATGTGGAGCGACTTATGTCAAGAAGAGAGATGAAGAGAGTGCTGCTATGGAAAACTGCCTCTGAATACAGTGCAAGCCGGGTAGTGGACACTCCATAGTGACGGCCGCTAGTTTGATAAAACCGCTTGGGATCAGCGCACCAGAAATACATGAACGACTTTAGCGCGCGAGTTGGCTATTGCTCCTGCTGCTGCGGCTGAAGCTTCAACTGACACAAGCAAGGCTTCTGCTGAGCAGCACTGGGATCGAGAAATACCTTTAGGCCTTCGTAGGTTCGTTACGAAACGCGAAGTGCCTCATTGCTCCAATCTCAGCCAGCTTCGCTGGGTTTTAGTTGCGCAGGGCCGAAAGCGATGGTCTGTCATGATGTGCCTGGTGAAGGTTCAGACATATCTTATCAGGGATCTGGGGTGGTAGTACCGACAGTGCCGACCCTCCAAAGGGTCGACTGTGAGCACAGGCGAGGCTCGCCGAGTTCCTGGCCTCCAGCACACCAGTGCTGGAGTTCGCCACAAGGCAAGCATGGCTGCATCCTGAATCATTGTGTGGCTGAAGTTGACATGAAAAAACTCAAGTCGGAAGAGCCGTTGCCGGAACCTAGAAGCAGAAGCAGCCCATATCTGGTCGGGCTGCATCACTGACGCCGGGCCGCTTGTGGGATTCAAGTCGAAGTAGTGTACAGAGGTCGAGCCCATTGAAAGTGCGATTGCCAGGCCCTGGCGCCGTCATCTCTCTTAGCTTGCGCACAGTTCTGGCTTCGGGAAAATGCTTGAAGCTTCGGTTGATCGCTCGTTGTTCGAGCCTGGTGCCCATCTGCGAGAATGCTACAGAGAGGCTGGCACTCAGATCATGGATTTCCAGGTTGGTGTCTGGGGGACTTCATAGAGACAGGGAGGGCTAGGATTCTCCGTTCAGGTCGGATTTCGGTCGTCCTCTGACTGTTCAGGGCCTCACGTGCTTCGCACCCAAACGGGCAATCAAATGTTTCGAACGTAATCGTCTGCTTTTTGCAATATGCGGGTGGCATGTTGTCACATTCAACGAAGGAGCAAGCATGCTAGGTTTGGGGTTTTGAGCGTTTGACATCGGCAGGCGGTTCGATAAGCGTGGAGCGACCCGCTTGACACGAGCATGTCTCAGCTTGCAGACTTTGACTCGCTCTCAACAAAGGCTCAAGACGGGCCCGAGGCAGCACATGCGCCTAAATCCGATTGACAAGACCGAGTCGGGCCTTCCAGTGAGTGCCCTTTCGAAACGGCCTAAGTTCAGCCTCCTATGACTCATATGGCTTACAGAGCGTTGGCCTTAGCCCGGAGCCATACGAGACCCAAGCCCTGAGCGACTTGCTGTACAATGACCCGCGCACAACAGAGACTCTGCCTTCCTTCGTATGTACACATCATATGGGGCCCAGATGCATGTGGACCCCCTTGAGCTGATGATATGGCGGCTGCACAGCCGTCCCGCTTGGGGAATCTGAGGCCTTGACGAGTCGGAGAGAATGCATTCGCGTGGTTGCGCAAGTGCGGTGATGTGTTGCATAAAACAGCGAACTATAGCATGCATGTGTTACACACGGCTCAACCAACTCATTCAACCCGAGATTCGCGAAGCCCGTCGGACTGCGACAGTGTGCTTCATGCGTTGATGGTAGTATTGTTGGAAGACCTACGTTAGCTCTCTGTTTGTTGTCGTCACAGTGCCGCTGCTTTCACGGATTTGCGGACAGGTATGCAAAACACTCATAGTCACAAGCACTTCATCAAAGCGCAACAAGAGATGACAACCTTGAGATTCTTTTTTCGCGCGTACTACCAGTAGGGTGAATGAAAGACGCCAGTGAAGATTCAATGAAGATCGTTTCCTGGAGCTCTGCGGCTGCTGGCGGATTATGCAAAAGAAGTGGAGACGCAGAATAAACCCATTAGGGTACCTTATTTTGGGGTCCTACTATTTAGGGTACTATATTAGCCTTTTCTCATTTCTGTTGGAACGACTGCTGCTTCCGAGCCAGTCCTAGTCCAACGAGCGTTGCCTGCAAATGACACAAGAGGAAGACTTGGAGCCGTTGGGAGACCAATAGTCGAAACCACGATCGTGGAGAAACGTCTTCGCCACCACCATTGAACGAAAGAACCACCTTAGGCGCACAAAGCATTTGAAGTTCTTCATGCCATCCGACTGTTTGGCACGCTTGGCTTGTCCACCTTAGAGTGCACGGATGCCGGTGTGCTACTGGAGACTGGAGGCTAAACCTGGCCAACTGTCGACTGAACCTGCAGAAGTTGCTGGATCTTCTGGAGGGGTATGCCCGACGTGGTTGGAACCACATTACGTGTATTGCTCGCGGCAGTCAGGAGTCTTTGCGTGGGTAGGTGCCTGCCAGCTCATTCAAAACGGTGTGAAGGGCGGCAAAGGTGCTTAATTTGGAGCCTAACTGGAGGCCTTTGGTGCTTCAGAGTGGCTGGCTGGCAATCTTGTGTCCAAGCTGGGGGTAAAAAGTCCTTGGGTCTGTTCGAGTGTCCGGAAGCAGAGCTTGTAGATGTTAATGTTTGAGTGTTCAGTTTGGTCTCCGCGGCTCGCTACCAGGCTCCCTTGTGAGAGAATCGATGAGTTGAATGCCGAAGCCTCAGACATATCAACACACCCTAACCGGGTGCTCTACACACCCGTATTCCGATTATGATGGGAAAAATGGTAAGGCACTTACCTGTAGAGACGATGGTTCCGGGCATGGAGGGATGTTGAGGTCCACTTCCAAGGCTGCAAAAGCCTTGTTGCGAGAGCTTCTGAGCTTTCACCGGTGCTTCGAGATACTACTCTCCGGGCTGTAGGAGGAGATCGGGTTCGGAACCGCCCGTCAGGCATCTCACAACGACTTGGGAGATCTTGCGCCTGTGCCTTACACAAACTCAGCTTTTTTCTTGCTGATGGTCCTGAAGTGAAGGGCTACTACCTGTCTTGAAGCCGCGCTTCAGGTAACACGGTAACTGATGCGGATTGCATCTTGGCGACCGCAGCTGCATGGCTCAAATTCGGTTCGTTTCCTCCCACCCTGGTGGGTTTTCGCAGAAGGCCTGCCGAGCTTATCTCGACCAATGTGGCTTGCCTGCATGATTCTGAAATGTTCGTAGGGCGTCCTGGGCAGCAGGTTCGTAGTGAGGGTCCGAGATAGTCCGATCCTATTCAGGGAGATGCGGAGACGACGAACAGATTGAAGCTCTTGCTTGGTGTAGTATACTTAGTATAGCCTATCATGATAGCACAGATGTAACATGGCATAACTGAGATGATATGAGGCCAGATAATATAAGACCTCACAATGTAGCATAACAGTCAAGATTTGAGCTTGGCTTGGTCCTGTATAGTAGCTATCCTGCAGTGCCAAATGCCAGCAAGTGCCAAGCATCATGCACAGCGATCCCTGAAACTGCGAAGAGCTCCCGTGGAGGTTGAGAGAAAGTCCAACCATGAAGGTCGGCCCGAATAACTATCTAAAACTCGTCCCTAAAGCCGCTTCGCCCAGGAAGAGGCGGAAGAAAGTGCAGCTTGTAGCCTTGTGTGGCATCCTGATCTCAGCCCGCCGGCCGATTTGGCAGAGCATTCAGAAGTCAGGAGGGTCCGGCCACTTCGGTCATGTTGTGCATATACACAATACACCTGGCCTGAAATCGATGTGATGTTCCGTAGTGTTTTGTGAACTTGACAGTTGCATGGTGGTAGATGGAGGTCGCAGCTCTTTGATCGCGTCGAAGCGAGAAGTGCTCTTGCGAGAGCAGAACTGCGGTAGCAGGGCAGTAGTACAGGCCTTCAGGCTTTACGGCCTGCGGGCCAGTGCCTTGACATCGAGGCGTATGCGTTCTATGTGGAGAACAAGATGGACGACCCGTTTTACCAGCCATCCTGCAGTAGTTCATGGACGGGTGGCAACTGCGTGCCTCGACATGCAATGCAGGGGCGGACAGGGACAGTGGTTGACACATGTGATTTGCACCTGAGGTTACAGTGTTCAAAAGTCCGTACGGCCACATTCTCAGCCGATTCCTCAGCTTGCTACGTGCTGCCTCCAGATCTAGCAAAGTGGGTGATGCACTTGACCTCATGCCGTGTTCTGTGACCGAGATGTCTCCAAAAGAGTTGCTTCCAGGAGTTGGGCCTCGAGACATTGAGTCGTTCTTGGCGCGTGAGGTCACTGGGGCCTCGTGGAGAAGGGCTCCGTCTTCGACTTGTCCCTTGCAGTTTCAGGACTTCAGAACGCAGCGAACGTGCTCTTGCATGTTGTGCCATGGGGGATTTAAAAAAAATCGTGCTTGGGTGATCCCTGCTGAGATGGTTCTCCGGCACCATGTGCTGAACAAAGTGTGTTGGAAGCGCACTTCGTCAGGACTCCTGCTCTATTCGTGCTACTTCCTGGCCATCTCGGCCCCTGGCACTGCAACGAAACCGCGAGATTGAACCAGTAGTGACAGTAGTGAGGCGGTTTATGTCAATCGCTGGGCGCACACAGTCGAAACTACCTCCCAGCATGTTGGCAGCCGTTCCTTGCTGGTTTTCTGGTTGCGTGCTTGGTGCTATCAGAGGGCAGCGAGCATGCCAAGGGCACTGCGGGAGCACGATCTGCTGTCTTGCAACCCAGGTAAAAGTCCCGTTTCCCTTGAGAGAGGAGGCATTCCTGGCAGTAGCAACTGCAGGCCTGGCGCCCAGAACTCGTTGCACGGGTGAAAACCGTCTCGCATGCCCTGTCCAATCCGGTGTGGCATTAGGCCCATTAGTAGGCTTTAAAGTATCAGCTGCAACAGCTGGAAATCTGTGAATATTGCTCGGGCGCTGCTAGGTGGCTTTTTCTCCATCTACCTTCTCTACGTGATCAAGGTCATTTTGCAGGATCTGCGAAGACCTTGATAGCGGGTGGGATCGAATTGCCATAGAGGCCGCGAGATCGATTCAACAAGGACTTTCAGGAGCAAGTTGTGAGCTGATGGCCTATGCTTGTGAACTGGTACTTTACTTTCGACCGGCTCTTGAAGAACAGAACTAGAAAAGTGCTTCGGCAAATTCAGCGGGCAATGGAAAGGAGTTCTGCATCGTGTGCTTCAGCTTCCACTGCTGCCACTTGGCGCATGCAGTACAGTAGAGTTGTGTGTCGCTTCTGTCTACCTCCGGAGAAATGCTGCTGTTCGTCCAAGTCACAGGCAGAAGCACACGCAACAGCTCCTTTGGTACCTCAAAACGTGCGAAGAGCGCAGCCAGGCAACTTCGGGATGCTGGCCCTGGCGATTCTGGAGTATAGAGCGCCCGAAGTCGGCGCCAGCCTTACGCAATGGGGCAGCTGTGGCTTCAGGAAGCTACTGATTAGTATGAAGTGACCAACGAGTCGCAACCCCTTCGGGCTAGACAAGCTTGTCACAGATTTAGCTTACGATGTTGCCGATTGCAGGACTTTGGTGGCAATTTTGGGGCAGGGGGGTTTGAGATAAGGATGCGAGTTTACTGTGCAACCTGCAGTTTATGTGTAGAAGTTTTCTAACTGTCTGAACCCGTGGGACCAAGTGCAATACTCAGGCAAAACTGCCGTCAAGAAGGAGTAGACGGAGTGTGCCAGCAGAGTCGCGACAGTGCTGTGCGTCCTGCGGCAAACCTCCTGGCTTGCATCCTGAGTGCCATGCGCATGCATCGCCAGGATGGTTGGTTCCGGTTTTAACAATGCGGCAATGCGAATGTAGTTCCTGTTCTACCTGGTTTTTTCGTGTTTGGGATGATCTTTGGTTCCGATTCCGTGATTGAGGCGAATCTTGGCAATGTGCCAATCTGCCGCAGTCTAGGACACGTCTCGCAATGACTCCTGCTTTCCTCGGAACCGCAGAACAACTCAGTGGAAGCTCGGCAGCGAGGGCCGATCCAGGGGTTCGCCCTGGAGCTTCGCAAGCTGGCAGGGCCGATCCGGTGTGGATCACAAGTTGTTGTTCTTATAATTTGGGTTTGGCTTTTTGTTACAAGGCGTCGGGAAGAGGTGGAATGGTTCTTTCGGAAATGTACCGGAGAGCGATGGCTGAGCTTGCAAGCCCTTGCTCCAGCTCTGGGGTGCCGCTGCCGGAAATGAGTTGCGGAGAGGTGAAAAAGCAAAGGCACTGGCACGAAGGCCTTGCAGAGCCAGCGACAGCCGCTTTTGTCGAAGAACATACCTTAATGTACTACAATATGACATGATATGCTGAACATCAGAAACTCGACTTGCTCCAGGTCCAAGGCGCTTCTCCGGCAGCTGCCTGAGCTACGGTCCGCCTCCCAGCGTCCAGAGAGTGTAGAGGGGCGTTCCGGCGGTTCTTGCGCCCATATGTGGCTACATGCCATGAACTCAGAGTGAACTCAACCAGATGCTGCTGAAAAGGTATCTGCCGTGTATGTCGCTTCGAAAGCACATTTGCACATTTATCTTGCCAGATTAGGATGTTCAGACGTCAGGCTTCAGAGCCCGAAACTGTCTAAAACTGCGCCCCTGCGCCCTTACATGAGCAGTGCATCCTTCCTTGCCGCGTGCAGATCAGGACGCTGCGTCTCAGCAGTGCGGGCTTGAGCGCCGAAGGCCCGCATCTTTTCCTGCTTTCCACGACTCGATCCAAATTATACATGCCTGGTTGCATTCAGCAGTTCTGCAAGCAAGAACTTAGTCTCGTTCCGATGTCCAGTTTTGGATAACATGAGAGCCGACGACGTTGCTGTCAAGTTGTTTGTTCGATCTGTTTACTGGGATGACAGCAGCCTTTTTCACCTGAGCCTGAGAGCGAGATGGTGATCGTGATAGTGTGGTCATCATCGTCATGACAATGGGAAGGACGACCTAGGTAGTGACGAGAAGCTGAATGATGGTGGCGGCGGCGATGTCGGCAATGACATCCACACCGCCGGTGGTGGTGTTGATTGTGGCCCCATGTACAAGCTAACATCCTGAATCGGGGGCCGCAAGTTCGTTTCCTGATAGAAAGACTTACTTTGCCTGGCAGGGCAGTGCCTAGATCTCCTTAATTTGGAATTTTGACACGGTCAAAACAGGTCTCAAGTGCACGAGGTTGGGACGCAGAGGCGTCGTAAGATTGCCACAGAATCTCTCTCTCTCTCTCTCTCTGTATATATATGTATATGTATATGTATATGTATATGTATATGTATATGTGTGTATGTATGTATGTATGTATGTATGTATGTATGTATGTATGTATGTATATATACATGTATGTATACATACGTATAGAGAAAATTTAGTGTAGGGTCAAAGTCTATGTATACA